AATACAAGAGCAAATCTTGCATGTGTTCAATACACATGAGCTCACTCTATTTGGAATCGTGCAAATTCCATGTGGAGTTTTTTAATATTTAATGATTAAGATGAAGTGAGCTCACATGATCTAAGCGACACAAGAATTATTCTATATAAACTTTAAGGACATGATCTAGCAAGAGGGCTTTAGCAAGAATTATGTGGCTATGACGGTTCATTCTATAGTTGCACGCACAAGCGTCTGTATAGCTAGAACCATTTTCATTGATATTATAGCTTATATAGGACTAACACCAATGTGTAACCTTCTAGAGGTTTTCAAGACAAAATATCGCGAGGAATTATCCAAGATGACAGCATGAAAACTTCCAAGGACCTTTCTTGAGTACACTAGAACCTTCTTGATGGCAATATGGAAAATGTAAACAAGGGCATTCTAGAGTATTCTTCAAGGGTAAAATGAGAAACATACATGTATTTTAGAGGCTTGTCATCAATCTCCACCGTTATATTGGGTTGGAGATCAACGATTGTAATCGAAGGACTTCTAGAATAAATAGAGTCCTTTCCCAGCAAGGAGGACGACTTCAAAGTCTACGACAGTATAGCCATTTTCGTTCAACGATCCCTTTCAAAGTCTACCATGATACGACCATTCTTCAAATTTTCAAATGTTTGAACTATTTTGAACTAGCGTCTATGGTCCACGTCCTTGTTCGAACGAAATGATCAAGCGGGCAGTAATGTCCAGAAAGATCATACTAGAAAATGGGTACAATCTTGATGATGGCCTTGAATTATATGGACAGGGTACCTGAGAGCCCATGAAGGCTTTATATTGAAAGTATTGTACCTCTAACCAATGCGAAAGCGCGCGCATTTCTCTATAAAGAATGAAAATTGTCCTTTAGGGCTTTTATAATAGGTGAGGCTAGATTATCTTCTTTCTCTGCCGCTTTCGCTAGGGTTTCAGTCTCTCTCTACTCTCAAGCCCACCGTTTCTCTCTCGCTATCGATTCCTCTATTAAGTGTCGGCTTCGATCCATCCCAAATTAAAAACCTTCACATTCTCTCTAATTTTCCACTTCCTGAACAAGACCGAGGAAGAAATTTCTAAGGCCACATGGCTAAGGAAACACTAAATGAACCAGTCTGTGACAAATACATCAAAAACATGCATGTAAATCTCTCTCTATTGAGTTCTCTTCATAACTCTTTAGACTTAGCTTTCTTTCTCAACGACCCCCTAAGAATTAAGCTTAATGATGTCATCTTTGTCACCAACTAACCTCAATCTCCCACACCTAACTCAAAAAACATCTCTTTGGAAATGTACTCATTATCTCCATTGCACGAACATTGAACGTGAATTCTTTTCTAAAGACGCACCAAAACGGCACCAAAAGAACCACTCCAAAGGCTTTCCATTTCAAAAGGTAGCCTTCTATTGCTAAAAGAACCATACAATTCACATTATCTCATATCTTCAGTTCCATTTTGTCATGCACAAATTCAAACCCCACATACTCTATAAATCATCATATACCCAACAAAACCACATTGCAATAATTGGAAAACGTTGAGTCACTCTAATGCAAGAATTGTAAAACATCGAGTCACTCTAATGCACCTCGACAAGCTGGAATCGGGAAACTTGTTTATGCAAGAAAGACTACAAAGACACAAGAACTGTCGAATCACTCACCTGTCCAAATTCATTTGGAAGTTGGGGAAATTTTGGCGGAACTGTAGAGGGGAGTTAGGGTTTATCAAATAGGTTGTTTGAATAACATAGTTAAAATTGAAAATTGGCTTGGAGGGACTGAAGGACTCTTCTGGCCGGGCTAATATCATTTGGGTATCAATGAATAGAAACACATAGGATTTTTTTTTGGTTAATTCATGAAACAAAATTCAAATCAATCACTACATTCTATCCAAATCAAGCTAAATTAATATATATATATATATATAGAGAGAGAGAGAGAGAGAGAGAGAGAGAGAGAGAGAGAGAGAGAGAGAGAGAGAGAGAGAGAGAGAGAGATTGGTTTGGTTTGGTAAAAAAAGAAAGAAAGGAATTTGGTGTGTTTTCATTTTAAATTGAATCTAAACCCATGAATCAAAATATATTTCAAGTGTCGAAAAGTGAGAGATTTCAATTCAAATGCAAAATTGGTTGACAGACATATTGCGTGGATAATGTGATTGGCTTCTTACCTATAATATATCAAACGTGTAATTAATATATAGAAGTTATTCTTTCTAAAGGATGAAATTAATTTTCGCCTTGTTGATAACATGGGGTTTTTAGCGAGTAATTAATCTAGTATTTAGATGGTGTAATTTGGCCTTAATTAACTTATTCCTTGCATTTGGTATATGCCAAATTCATATTTTCCAAGTTGTAGCATTAGTAGGCCGTTTAGCTTCCATCCAATTGCAAATCACGGACCGCAATATTAATAAAGTGGCATGAGACAATCCATGCATGAGACGCAGATGATTTGATGAATAATAATAATAAGGGAAAATTTCAATCAAGGTTTTGAAGTGTGGTCGTTTTTTTCAAAAGGGACCTAGCTTAATTTTATCTTACTTCAAATAAAACTCTAAAGTGGTTAACTAGTATCAAATAAGACCCCAAACTCACCGGCCAGCCAAGTTTTGTCAACCAGAGAGAATGTGTGTGCCACTTTCATGCATTTCACGTGCCATTTTGGTGAGATGCACGTGCTCGTTGGTAGGTGAAGATTTGACTATCAATCCTAGTAGTAGCCAGGGTACTGGTAGTACTACGAAGGGGGTTAGGGTTCGAGTACCGAGGCATATACGTCGAAGCAGACTGCGACGATGTACCTGTTGGAGGTGACCTCCAGCTGCGCCGGCAAAAGTGCCTCCGGCAGCCATTGGCGCCGATGCTTCCGCTGTTGCCCATGGCATTCCTTCGAGCAAAAGAAAAAAAACAGGTTTTGATTCCATCGAAATCAGGCAACTAGCGAAGGAGCATTGGACTGTTCACGCATCAAGAAGCGAACTTCACCATCACAATCATCACAAATCGCAAGAGTGTAGAAGGGAACTCCGGCAAAAGAAAAGGGAAAGAAAATGGAAGGGAAAAAAAAGAAAAAAATTTATAATGAAAATAACAAAAAAAAATTCAAAAAATTACTAAAAAATTATAAAAAAATGTCACGTTAGCGTCGGCCGTGTCACGTAAAACGGCCAGCGTCCATGTCAACGATTTTCGACTTAAATTGGCATGATGGATGAATTGGTACAAAAAAGGTTTAGGACGAGATTGGTCCAATTAAAAAATTTATGACTAAATTGGTATCTATGCAATATATATAGGACTTTTTAAATACTTTTTCCTGCAAGCCGTGCAATCCGTTAAGCCAGAGCTCGAGATGCTGGTCGTAGGTGGAGAGGACAAGCGCAGGACTTCGTCACTCCTTTTGACGGATTGTGCAACGTGAAGTGAATTGTCTCGCCAATCACGAGTCTTGATTACAAACAGAACTCGATGGGAATATACTATCGTTCTCTGAAATGCACAGGAGGTGCTGCTAGTGAGAATCGCCTTGCGTGCGGGAGATCATCGGGAGCCTTTGAGCGTCCTCGGTCAAGAAATCAATTACGAAAAGTTCCAACAAGCTAAGGGAATCATAAGGCCCTTTCGTGTTGCTCAAGCCAAAATCTCAATGTTTCTTACCTAGTTACCGAGGTTCTTTCGAGTCCGGCAAGAGTTCTCATTTCGTCGTCCCAGTCATTAATTGAATTTGAAAGCATTGACCATTTTATCTTCTTACAATAGTAGACCCAACTTGAAAAAATTGAGTATACTCCACCTTAATGTTCACTCTAGATTCTAGATATACTTGGACCTGTGAACTGTTGTATCGTGATGTGATTTTGCGTACGGTCTCTCTAAGTTAGATATCTTTGTATTTTCCTCTATAGGAATTGCATGTCTCGTCGATCTATTATTGTGCTGCCCGACCAACTCAACTAATAGTTCAATATTTATGTGATGTGAGATGCTGTCACTATATATTCAACGAAAGCCCACGTGTTGCGCTACAATAGTCAACATAAAATGAGCGTCCGAATGCAATTTTCTTCCCGCAGATTTGTTTTGACTTGTCGTGGTTCATTTAATATTGACAAGGTTAGAAGTTGCAAAAGATGCCTAAATTATAGTACCTGCCACGCAGAAAACAACCTACGACCATCACATTACTCTTTCCAAGGGCGGCGGCCACCCAAGCGCCCATTCATCTTCCCTTCGATGAATACCGTGTTTATCCATAAATCTTATCAAGTGACGTGACGAATTTTTATTCGTCGTTGATAAATAGGTCTAGCATGCGCTCAATGCATGTAAACTCACTTCATCTTAGATCGTGCAATCCCTTGTAAGGCTTTCAACATTTGATGACTAAGATAGAGTAAAATCACGTAACTCGATCGCATATGAGAAGCTTTTCTAAATAACCATACAATTTAATAAGAGAGCTTTGATAGGATTTCTCAATATGTCTAGCATCGCTTATGTATGGTTGGTCGCATCGCCACGCGTGTGCTTGGGACGATGCAAACAATGTTCCGTGCACGAGTGTCCGTATGCTCAAACCCATGAATCATTTGTGCTAGGACCATTCTCATTAAATATCATGGGTTACATTGGACCAACACCAATGCATCAAAAAACACCCATGAATCAATCTCTGCTGATGGCCAAAGAAAAACATCATTCCCTAATCAGTTATGGCGCAGAATGCTCTGTGGAGGGCGCATCACTCTTTGGCATGATATGCACGGCAGCAAAACTCATCACCTTCACAAGATAGACATGACTCTCCACCTTCTCTCGTGCCAATTCTCAGAATGGTAAGTGCCGAAAAGCACAGAAAATTTGGAATCAAAAGATGGAAGAGAAAGAACATGCGGGCTCGAAGAAAAAATGGGAAAGGTTCACGCCGTGGTCGGAGAAAGAGTCTCACCAAAGAAGGAGAAGAAGAAACTTCATGAACATGTTCATTATCATATATGGATCTGTACATAACCGAGTCTACTTGCAAAGTCAGCCGAAAACAGCATATAAACCTCTGCAACAAGCCTACATTCATCCAAACTCCTACCTCTGTTATTGATTGATATCGGAACGATCAACCGCACCAAACTTCCTATAGGCTCGCATCTTGAATCTATATTGTATATATGAGATGAACAAAACATCATTTATCCAAAATAAAAAGAAAATGAAACAAGAAAAAAGAGCCACATGATCATGCCCACAGAAGTCATCTATACGACTTGAGAATAGCACCGCAGAAGGTGCAGATGATGGCCTTCCACGATTTCCAGTAGAGCGGGACGTAACAAAACCGCGTCGCCGTCTTCATGTCGGCCACGCTGGCCCCGCGGCCGCACCGCGAGCACGTCCCCGCCACCGGCTTGCTCCGCCTCACCTTCCTCTCCTGGTCCACCAGGAAACAGAAGCACACCATCGAAATTCCCTCTGGCGCACCCGATCCCGATTCAACCGCAACGTTTCATTCGATCTGCACAAAAATTCACTTCAGCTCCCAGCCCCCATGCTGTTTACGCGGCTCCACACACCATCCACACTTATACATGCAAGAACTTTGAAGTCTGAGTAGTTGAGTGGCGGTGGCTCGGTCCTTTCGCGATCGCGCGAGACTGGCCATCGGATGACCGACACGTGGAATCCTGAGCGGCGCGAGGGACGTCGATCCTGCAGTCACGTATATGCTGAGACGAACCTGCTCGCCCCATCACGGCTTCACGATGACGATGTAGAATCGTGGGGGAAAATTTGCCACGTTAAAGAGAAAAAGAAAAGAGAGACATAATGGTTGTGAAAATGCATTTAATGCCTTTCTTTGTCCTTGAGCAATGTATAATCAAACAGTCCGAAGCGAAATCGAAAGCAACTTTGTCCGCTAAGAACAACGTGTTGTGTAGCCTCGTCCACGATTCCTATAATTTCATCAGAGAAAAAAGGAAAAATAATACAAATGATCTCTAAACTTTAATTTAATGTGCAATCTTGTCCCTGGAAATTTCAATTTGTTTAGTGCGGTGCATGAACTATTGGAAAATATTTAATCTAGTTCCTAGGCTATTTGAAAATGTTCAATGTCGTCTTACGTTAATCAAAGTTAACGGAATTTGACGACCTTGATTTTATTTTAAGGATCACATTGAATAAATTGAAAGTTAATAGACTAGATTGAACATTGGATCAAAGTTCAAAGATTATTTAAGTCATTTTTCCCGATAAAAAAAGGGTATGTTTTACGAAGGCCGCATGATCGGTAAACCAATCGCGATTTAAGAACATGGGAAAATTTGTATGTTTTGCGCGTGAGATTCGGGGTAAGTTTCACCATTTCTTGATATTTGATCGGTATGGTCATGGTATTGAAGAAACGAAGATATTTCGATGTGTTTCTCGATATAATTAAATAAGTATTAAGAAATAAATTTCGTAGGCGGAAGATAAGTCTTCGGTTGTCCTTCGTTAATGGATAGAATTTTCTGTGTAACGCGATAATTGTCACTTTAAAGTCAAGTATACTTCCCTTTCATTATTCATTGTGCGAATGAGAGTTGTGAATGTGACCAATGTTCACGCTCGATCGGTGGAAGCCTGCTATGATGGAAAAAGGGTTTCGAGAATTTTTGACAAAATTTGTGAATTTAGAAAATGAGAAGTGGAGTGGCTAACAATCAAAATTTAACGAATATTTCAAAAGAAAATTATGAGCCGGGTTGGAGTCTTTTTTTATTGGACTACTTTTCACAATTTTTCGCTTATTTGAAAGCAATTTATACTTCTTTTTGAAGCACTTTCCTTTTAATTCAAATTATGCATTATGAAAAGAGGTATCCACCCATATTTTTCTCATGATTCTTTCCAAATATCATTAAAAGTGTTGCTAGGTTCCCAAAGTGGCTATAACTCCTAACTTCCAAGGCAATGAGAGGCAAGTTCTTTCGAGGGAAAAATTGAATTTTTGTTTCACAAGCTACTTAAATTTTAATTCACAAAAGATGAGTTTTTTCTTTCTTAACATATGCATAAATATATATGTCCTATTATATATATTTTTTAAGGGATATGTGCACTAAAAGTCCTAAAACTTGTCATGAAATTGTGATTGAGTCCTAAACATTACAAAAAGTGCAATAAAGTCCTAAAACTTATAAATTGATGTATTGGAGCCAACGCCCTATTCAGCATATTTGTTTGTTTTTAGATGAATTACCAGGTAGAAAAGATAGACTTGTTCCACCATGAGTGATTCTACTGATTCCAGTTCACCAGTCACTGTAAATGCCCTTTTAGATATTCGCACTTCAAATTTTTCGAAAATTGACTATCTTTATGAGGTCTCATCCCTTAATGAAGAGAGTAAAATTTCGAAAACTCATCTCCTGCTTATTAATCTGTATTCTGCTTTCACAAGACCTCCCTCTTTTTCCCCTCTCCGTTTCATCAAACATACACTCCGCGAAGTTAAGGAATATGTCTAGTCATCCTAATTCGATCAATATCCTATTCCTGCTACCCAGCAAGAACATTTTATTACCCTTCAGACACCTTTTGATTTTCCATGACAATGGATACAACAAGAGTATACGCATCTTCACTTTGGTGCTATCCGTTTTGCACTATCATTTCATGGTAGAAAAGGATTACCTGTTGTTGCCCAAATGGCTCTTCCGGATACTCGTTTCTTGGATTACCAACATATTTATATTGATACAATCCAAACCACCCTTAATGCTGAAATAGTATTTCTTACATTGTTTCTAAATTTCAACATGGTTCTTATGGACCCAAGACTCCTTTTTGCTCTTAAAGTTCAACTGCAGCTCACCGGAACTCCTCAGATCCCTGATTCTATAGCTGCTACTTTACACTACCAAATGATATATCGGGTCCAGAACCATGCTATTGATTTTAATTTTTCTAGCACTGAGGATGCTCTTTTCATCTCAGTGGATAATGATCAAACTTCCTGTGTCCATGTACCAAGACAAATTCCTCGGGATCAATTAGTTAAGTTCCTCCCTGATACTTGAGTAATTAACTATGAAAAACTCCATCAGAATTCCATGCCTATTCAATTCATGGAATCCCAGTTTACAAAAAAGGAAGATGGTACGGTTGTCATTAAATTTAGTAAGGAAAAGGAAGAAGCATCTTCTTCTATTTTTCCTACTATTTTTATGATGTAACCATGCCATGATGATGTTCTTATTGAGGAAGGTGACTCAAATCCGAAGATTATGATCGAGCCTTTTAATCAAGAGGGACGACCTATTCATTTTTACAAAGATCCTTGAATAGGACACTGTTTCAGGGATTTAGATTGTCAATGTTCCCTTTGCACAAGCCCTCCTAATGACGAAGAAGATGACAGACCATCCAAAAAGAAAAAGAAACGATCCAAATATAATCTTTACTAGAGATATCTTGATGGGGATCCTACCATAGGACCCTTTGGTGAGGATGGAGGAAGATGCCAATTTATGGTTTCATATGGACCACTCTGACCACAAACTCCTCCTCCAATTCCTAAACCTTGCAAACCTCTTTCACCTCCACAAGCAACATCCAAAAAAAACTCCACCACAAAAGCCAGTTGTTTCACCCTTCTATAAACCCATCCAAAAATGGGTTAGGAAAAATTCATATCCTTTGCAATTACCCAAAGCACCCCAGCTTTCATGTATTTCAATGCCTAAACCACTGCCAGTACTCCCAGCTGTCTGTATATTCCAACCCTCGAACTTTCCACCCTTGGAAAAAACAAATTCTAGTGCTTCTTTTACAACATTAGAAGAATTTACATACGCATACCATCGGTTTCGACACATGCCAAAGATTCCAAACCCTATGGATATCGATGATCATGGGAGACAAAAGAAAGTTACTGCCGCCGAAGCTGTTATGAATTGGTAATCAGAACATGCTCTGGCACAAAATAATATTCAAGACAATTGATACAAAACTTTCAACTATCCAAGCCTGCCTTGATCATGTCGATTAGAAGGTTTATCAAACGGCTTTTGTAACAAACAAATTACTTGAGACATTCCAGAAGAAATTGCAGCAGATGGAATCGGGTAAATATATTTCCCATCATTATTTGGAAAACCAGACTGTTGAAATGGAAAAGCTACGTAGGCAAATTAAACTCCTTCAAGAAGGAAAATTTGTTCCTATGCTAGACCCATTTTCTCAATTTTGGCACCCAACCCGGATGGAAATCTCTCCTCCAAAATTCACTTCAGTTGCCTCAATCATTGCAGAAGCACCGAAAGAAGAACAAAGTGATATTGTTATACTTCAAAATCGCATCTGTGAAATGGAAAAACAAAAGAAGATGTAGCAGGAGAAGAAGTCAAACGTTCCTGAATCTTCCCAGGAACCTCCTTCTTCCCACATGGTTTCAAATTCATTAGAGGCTTTTTTGCGAAATCAATGCGAACAGAAGCCGCCAGTTATTGCTACAATCTATCCATCCCAGCAAAATACTTCTTCCAGCTCTGAAACAGCCTCTTTTTCTTTAAAAAAAAACACCTCACCTTCTGACCATGAGATACCAAATTTCCCTAAAATTGCTATTCTTATGGCCGATCCCCATGAGGTGGATATGGAATCAAACTCATCTGAACCAAAAATAGTAAACATTCATATAAGAACTCTCGTTCTGGAACTTCAACCCCCAAACACTATTTTGCTCTTGATGATATTCCATACACTAAATGGCTAGAAAGACTACCGGAGTTCCATACTTGGCTCAGCACTAGAGCCCTTACTATTGAAAGTCAGTATGATATACGGACTGAGTTTGTTAGCAGATTTATCGGTAGCCTCAAGGATTGGTGGAAAACTATTTTTGACCAAGATAAGATGACGTTCTTACTCCAAATAGATTTTCATTATGTAATTCACATCATCCACCAGTTCTTTATTGATAAACCAGAAGATCTTCTTGAACTCAAAATGAGAGAGTTTTTTTATAGAAGATGATGCTCTCTACGTCGAAAACACCTGAATAAGCATTTTCATGAAATGCTTAAATTGTTTTATGCTCTTGGAGCCAATCCGAATATGAAGCAAGTATTTCTATCTTCTATTCCAAAAGAAATTGGTCAAGTTGCAGAAAGATCTCTTCAAAATAAACAGCGAAAAATTGTTGATGTCCCAATAGGAGAACTGCAACAAGAGATACATTTGGCTCTTGATGACCTATGTATTTGTCGAAAGGCATTCGGAAGTTATCTTAAGAGTAATAACGAGCTTGATAGAGCTTGTCGAAGACTAGAATTAAGAATCAAGTGTCCAAAGAAAGAATCCTGTGATGACCCTTCTTACGAAGATCGGCGTAAAAAGAAAAAGCACTTCAAAGGATTCTCCCTCGGTCTAGGAAGAAGACGTAAATGGCGTTTCTTGATAAAAAGACGATCCAAATGCGACCAGTTTGAAAGACATAAGAAATCCGACCGATGTTACATCTGTAACAAAAGAGGCCACTTTGCGAAGAATTGTCCGAAGGCCTAGAGAAGAAATTCTCATTTAATCCAGGAGCTTGAAAAAGAAACTGGAATTTCTCTTCAGGATGATGATGTTGAATCCGTCTTCTCTTTAGAAGATGAACCAACAATGCACACCATATGCGTTATCCAGACATGGCCCCAGTCCAGTAACACTGACTACTCATCTGAAGAAGTAGAAAAAGAATTTACTCCTTTTCTTTCGAAAAT